CATATCGTAGGCTGTTAATAAGTCCCTCCAATCCTGATGCCACGTTTTTCTTCATAGAACCCAGCTTCTTGGATTATTTACTCAGCATATAGGTTGTATAAGGATGGGGAACGAATACAACAGAGAGGCAGACTACTTCTGAATATTTAGCCACTGAAAACCTTATTAGGAGCCGTGGAACCCTGTGAGATTTAGTGCTGGAAGTTGAAAACATTATGACTGGGACCAGAATACTGTCAAGTAGAGTGCCAAAAGATGAGCTCCTCAGATTGGAAGACATTTAAAATTAGACTGGGGAAGAGCTGCCTCCTCAAAATAGAATTAACCATGATGACACAAATAAAGCAAAGCTTTCCAGACCTTTATCTGCTGATGGAAGTAAAGCTCAAAATGAGAGGAAAGAGCTGCAAACATCCATTTTGACAATCAGAACATGCAATTTATGAAGTATGAAGCTGTCAAAATGAAATGGAAAGCACAAAGATGAATACCCTAAGCACTGCTGCTGTTGTTAAGTGACAGTGAATCAGTTCCAATTGTGGAGTGGCTATTTGAGTTTGAATGGCCAACCTTGCAGTTCAAACCCCAAAACCAGATATGATGCATTGGACACTAAAGACTGAAGACCAGAAGAACTGTAGGATGTCATCATCAACATCATATGAGAAGTAAGCAAAAGGCCATTAAAAAGGCAGGAAATAAAGAAAAGACCAAAATGTATGTAAGAAGAGACTCTGAAACTTGCTCTCTAGTGTAGAGATGCTAAAGTAAATGGAAGAAATGAGGCAAAAGAGCTGAACAGAAAATTTCAAAGGGTATCTCAAGAACACAAAATATTAAAATGAAATGCACAAAGACCTAAAGTTAGAAAACAAAATACACTAAACATTTCACAAGCTAAAAGAACTGAAGTAAAAATTCAAACTTTAACTTGTAATATTGAAGGATTCTATGTATAAAGTACTGAATGATACAAAAAGGATCAAAAGTAGAAGGAAGGTATACACAGAATCACTGTATCAAAAAGAAGTGGGTGATGTTCAACCATTTAAAGAGCTGATGGTACTGGAGGAAGGAAGTTTAAGGTATTGGTGAAAGACAAGGCTCCAGGGAACTGATGGAATACAAATTTAAATATTTCAACAAAATGATGCAGCACTGGAGGCACTCACTTCTCTATGCCAAGAAATCTGGAAGACAGCTCCTGGTCAACTGAATGGATGTGATCCATGTTTGAGCACATTTCACAGAAAGGTGATCCAACAGAATGTGGAAATCAATGAATAATACAGTATCATTAATATCATGTGCAATTAATACCACATACAAGAAAAAGTTTGCTGAAGATAATTCCAATTCTTAAACGACTGAAACAGTTCATCTACAGGGAATTGCCAGAAACTCAAACACCATTCAGAAGAAGACACGGCACTAAGGTTACCATTGCTGACATCAGATGGATCTTGGCTCAAAACAGAGAAAACCGGAAAGATGTTTACTTGTGTTTTACTGACTATGCAAAGGATATTGACTGTGTGGACACTGAAAAGCTATGAATAACACTGCAAAGAACAGGCAGTCCAGAACACTTGATTGTGCTCATGAGGAACCTGCAAAGAGAACAAGGAAACACTGAGTGGCTTAAAATCAGGAAAGGTCTCCACCAGGTATGTATCCTTCCACCATATTTGTAAACTGAATCTGTAAACTAAACAAATAATCCAAGAAGCCACACCATAAGAAGAAGAATGCATCAGGATTGAAGAAGACTCGTTAATCACATATGATATGCACATAATACATACATCTTTGCTTGCTGAAAGCAAAGAGGACTTAAAATGCTTACTGAAGGAAGGTCAAAGATCATAACCTTCAGTATGATTTCAGAGCTACGTAAAGAAAACAAAAATCCTCACAACTGGCCCAATAATAAATAACATCATGATAAATGGATAAAATATTGACATTGCCAAAGACTTCACTTTGGTTGGATCTACAATCAACATTCATAGAAGCAGTAGTTAACAAGGAAATATTATATTTGATAAATCTGCTGCAGAAGACCTCTATATTAAGAAGCAAAGATGTTACATACAGGACTATGTATGGTATGACTGACTCAAGCCATAGTATTTTTAATAGCCTCACATGCATGTGAAAGTTGGACAATAAACAAGGAAGACTGTAGAAGAATTTATGCACTTGAGTTATGCTATTGGAGAAGAATATTTACAGAACCATGTATGGACTGCCAGAAGAACAAACAAATCTATTTAGGAAGCAGTGCAGCCAAAAGGAGCTCTGGTAGCGTAGTGGTTACAAATCGGGTTGTGAACTGCAAGGTCAACAGTTCGAAACTACCGGCTGTTCTGCAGGAGAAAAATAAAGCTTTCTGCTCCCGTAAAGATTTACAGCCTTGGAAACCCTGTACAGGGTCGCTATGAGTCGGAACTGACTCGACAGCACATATTAACAGCAGCAAAATGCTCCTTAGAAGCAAAGATGGCTAGAGTTCATCTCTCATACTTCAGACATATTATTAAGAATGACCAGTCCCTGGAAGACATTATAATTGGTAAAGTGGAGGGTCAGCGAAAAAGAGGAAGACCTCCAACAAGATGGATCAGTATAGTGGCAGCAGCATGGGCTCAAGCGTATCAATGACTGTAAGCATGGCGCAGTACAGGCAGTGTTAGGTTCTGTTGTCTATAGGGTCTCTGTGAGTAGGAACCAATTGATGGCACCTAACAACAACAATTATTAGTTTTAACCGATAAACTTTTGGTTTCAACAACCTTTTCAGTCTAACCACTACCGCCACAGGTAAAAAACAATTTGAATACAAGTACACACAACTAGTGAGGATGTAGCTGAAGATGTTGCAATGACATCCTCACATATGAAAGAACACATACCTTTTGAGTATACAACCATGTCTTAAAATCAAGGATGACTCAGGAAGACTTTATGAAAAGGTGACTTAAGCCTTATAATTTATTCTACCACTAATTTCTTATTACTTATTATCTCATATGTCTTCTGTCTATTGTATTCATATAACTCAAACTTCATAAAGAAATATCGGGTTAAGATTCATATAACAAAGAAATGCCATTAAAAGGAATCATCAAAATCTCAATTGGCAACTGAGATGTAAATATTTCCTTCATACAGTAATAGGAGCCTGCTAAAAATTGTTTAGGATTTATTCTATTATAAAATTCGACCACAAAACAAAATTTAGTAGCCTGAAAACATTATGAGGGTTAAATCAGACTATAATTTTAATATTCTCTGTTCAGGCTGTGCAAAGTACCATCAATTACCAGGGTTCAGAACAACTGCTGCAATGAAAAAGCATAGTAGTAGAGTTAAAGAGGTAGTTACCTTGTATCATGAAACTAGCTAGAACACCTATATGTTGACATTATTAAAGTCAACTCTATGCTCTTGTTTGACTTAATAAAGTGAAAATTTTGATAAGGCATAGTTTTGAAAAATAAAACATGATTTTAAACACACAAGGGGTATTTCCCGTTTCAAATAATTCAGTTATAAAATCTCTTAGGTAATTTATCTTAATGGCAATCCCCTAATAGTACAAAATATATTCTTGATATGAAACCAGGAAAGAGTCCACTAAACAGTTCACATATTGCACAGATGTGATGAAATATGCATAAATGCTAAATGACGTTAAGACAATTTTAAAATGACACAGAAAAAAACTGTTTTAAAAGGTTTGGCTAAAGACAGGAACCATGCACTTTAACAGAAAACCCATTACCATTAGTCGATTCTGACTAATGGCGACCCTACAGAACAAAGTAGGGTTGAAGCTATAAATTTGTAAGGGAGCAGACTGTCTCATCTTTCTCCCACGGTTAACCCACTGTGCCACTAGGACTCCTGTGTCTAATAGAAGTAATAATAAAAATTAAATCAAAAGCTTCATATACATTTCAGGATGTGCTCACAATACACAACCCCTTAAACAGAACTGTGGGCAAGTCAAGCAATAGGCATGAATCTCAGGTGAAATTACACTGTACGTTCATTTCTCATTTGAAGCAATTGACAAACGATGAAAAAGTAACAGGATCACTTAGTGAAATTCCAACTAATACAATTTGTAAAACATAAAAAGAATTTTTTGTAGTAATATAAATCAATCACTGTCCAAAAAGAAATGGCTAATGCACAGAGGTATAGCTGACATTTTAAACGTATCCCTAGACTTATAACCATAATGTGTGGATATAAATAAATTAGATTTCCACACAATAAAATAGTAAAAGCTTCCATTTATCTATTTTAATTTCATTTATTATAATGGAACTTTGTGAAGCTAATATAAAATGTTATTAGAAACATACATGGAAAAGATGTATTTTATAATATTTTGTAGCAGAAAACAATTTAAATGGAAAACATAATCAGTTCTTCTTTTTGAAGGTTTTGTTTTAAAACACTATTTTCAAATATAAAAAAAAAAATTCTATCTTTTTTTAGATGTAATTAGTTGGAAGAACTATGAGATACAAAATAGGAAGCAAATAAAAAAAATAAAATGTGGCTATGCTTCTCTCCCATATAAAGCACTATTTTACAATATAGAAACATCATTTATATATTTTCCTCCATTTCATTTGTGTTTAAAGCTGTTGGTAGTCACTGACATAAAAATCATTATAGTATTATAACTTCATACCTAAAGCAATTTAACACCACATAATATTATTTTAAAAATAAGCAATCATGGAAGAAATATTAGATTATTCTGATATATATAATAAACCAAGCAAGTTCATTCTGAGCTAACTAAAAATGTTCATAAGTTAGAACATAGCATTTAGATCCTTCTTCTAAGAAATGACTCTCAAAAACTGTTCTCTCTGTAACTGATAAACTATTGAACATAAAAAGCAATCAGACAGCTAAAGTTACTAACTGAAGACTTGGTTATTACTTGTAATTTAAGCATTACTAGATTATGTTACCTCAACAATATCCGAGTTGGTTCTGCTTTCATGAGGTTCGTTATATTCTGTATACTTGAGAAGAACTTTGTCCATATCAGTGCTGGCATACTGAAACAGTTTGTTAGAACTGTTGAAAATGATGAGAGCTATTTCACAGTCACAGAGCACACTAAGTTCATAGGCTTTCTTCATTAATCCAAACTTTCTTTTTGTAAACGTGACCTGGACAATAAAAAAATTAAAAAAAGGTTTTTTTATTAAAACATAAATACTTGAATATAGTGCCACTTTTAATTTAGAGCCAGGCTCCAGAGAAAAGAAAAGTATACTAGCCTCCCCTCTCCCAGCATATCACCGAACTACAGTCCTCCATGTATCTAGTATATCCAATAGCTCTGAAAGAGCGGTCTCCTGACAGAGTAGTCCCTAACTTTAATTGTCACTCACTGCAGAAGGCAAAGAACCACAGAAGGAAGCAGTCATCTGTCTAGTAGTACTTTATCAATAAGCATAAAACTGCTAATTAGAAACATAAATCCTACTCCAAACATTAATCCCTAAACATCTAAATTCATTTACTAATATAAGTTTATCACCTCCCTCCTAAATCCTTCTAACGGACTCAATGAAAGTCACTGTTATTGTTGGGTGCCATCGAGTCGGTACTGACTCATACCGTCCTTATGCACAGCAGAAGGAAACACTACCCGATCCTGGGCCAACCTCACTACTGTTGCCACACTTGTCTATCGATGCTGCCACTTGGCCAATCCATCTCGTTGGGGGTCTTACTCTTTTTCTCTGACCCTCCACCTTACCAAGCATGATATCCTTTTCCAGCGACTGCTTCCTCCTGACGATATGTCCAAAGTATGAGAGACTAAGTTTGGCCATCTTGACCTCCAAGGAGCACTCTGGCTACACTTCTTCCAACACAGATCTATTGGTTCTTTGGCAGCCCGTGGCACTTTCAATATTCTCTTCCAACACCATAACTCAAAAGAATCAATTCTTCTACGGTCTTCCATATTCACTGTCCAGCTTCCGCTTGCATATTACATTACTGAAAATATCATGGCTTGGGTCAGGCGCACCTTAGTCCTCAAGCTGACACCTTTGCTCTTCAACACTTTATAAAGGTCTTCCTTGTGCAGCAGATTTGCCTAATGCAATACATCGTTTAATTTCTTGACTGCTGCTTCCATAAGTGTTGATAGTTGATCCAAGAAGAATATTAGAGACCTTAAATTTGTTCCTTTTTCTTTGACAACCTTTATAGTTCTGGGGATTACATTTCGGTCTTTAATCCAAGTTAGTTTTTGTTTATGGTGTGATGTAAAGGTCTTGTTTCATTCTTTTGCATTATTGATTTCCAGTTTTGCCAGCATCATCTGTTGAAGAAACTATCTTTTCCCCATTCAATCTTTGTCAAAGATCACTTAGTTGACTGTATGTGGATGGGTTAATGTCTGGATTCACAATTCGTTCCATCGATCTATGTATCTTTCATTCTAACAACACCAGGCTACTTTGACCACTGTAGCCATGTAGTAACTTTTGAAATCAGGAAGTAAAAGGCCTCTAACTTTTTTCTCCTCTTTAAGCTGTGCTGTTTATCTGAGGACTGTTTTTTTTTCCATATAAAGTTTATAATTGCTTTTCCCATCTCTTTAAAGAAGGTTGTTGGAATATGGATTGGGGTTGCATTATACCTATAGATTGCTTTGGGTAATATTGACATTTTCATAAATGTTAAGTCTTCCTAATCAGGAACACAGTATATTCTTCCATTTTTGTAACTGTTTTGGTTTTTTTGGAGCAATCTTGTAATTTTCTTTGTCCTTGTTGTAGCTGTTTGTTGTTAAATGTCGTGTAATCAGTTACAATCCAGTGACCCTGTATAGGGTTTTGGAAGAGCAACTGTTGAGCTTGAACTGCTGACCCTGTGGTTCAAACCAATTTTGCAGTTCACCATATTAACCCACAGCACTACGCCAGGACTCCTTTTTTTTTTTAAATAGGTCTTTTGTCTCTCTGGTTAGATTTATTTCTAAATATTTCATCCTTTGGGTGGCTATTGTACATGGGATTGCTTTCCTAACGTCCTTTTCAGAGTTGTCATTATTAGTACAGAGGAATCCAACTGATTTTTGTATGTTTATCTTGTACCCTGTCACTTTGCTGAATCTTCCTATGAGTCTTTGGGGTTTTCTATGTATAGTATCATCTCATCTGCAAACAACAGAAAGAGTTTTACTTCTTCTTTGCCAATTTACATGCCTTTTATTTTTCTATCTTGCCTTATAGCTCTGGCTAAAACTTCCAACACAATATTGAATAGGAGTGGTGATAAAGGGCATCCTTCTCTGGTTCCTGTTCACAAAGGGAAAGTTTTCAGTTTCTCTCCACTGAAGAGTGATGTTGGCTGTTGATTTTGTACATATGCTCTTAATTATGCTGAAGAATTTCACTTCAATTCCTACTACATTGAGCGTTTTTATCAAGAATGAATGTTGGATTTTGTCAAATGACTTTTCTGGATCAAATCAGTACGATTGCGGTGGTTCTTTTCCCTTTTTAAAATTTATATCATGGATTATATTGATTGTTTTTATAATACAGAACCATCCTTACATCCCTGATATGAATCCCACTTGGTCATGATGTACTATTCTTTTGATATGTTGCTGAATTATACTGGTTAGGATTTTGTTGAGAATTTTTACATCTATGTTCATGAGGGATTTGTTATGGATGTTGTTAAGTGCTGTCGAGTCGATTCTGACCCATAGCGACCTTGTATAGGGTTTCCAAAGAGCTTAAACTTCCGATCTTGCAGTTCAAATGACTTAGCAGTCTGACACATTAGCCCACAGCACCACACTAGGACTCCATGACGGATAGTGGTCTATAATTTTCTTTTTTGGTGCTGTCCTTCCCCGGTTTTGGTATGAGGGTTATGCTTGCTTTATAAAATATATTAGGGAGTTTTTCATTCTTTTCTATCATCTGGAATAGTTTTGAGTACAATTGCTCACAGCTCTTCTCTGAATGCTTGGTAAAATTCACCAGTAAAGTCATCTGTGCCTGGACCTTTTTTGGTTTTTTGATGACCTGATCAATTTTTTCTTTTGTTATAGGTCTGTTGAAATTTTCTACTTCAATGTGTAAATTTAGGTAGGTCGTGTTTTCTAAAATGTATCCCTTTCCTTTAGGTTTTCATATTTGTTGGAGTACAACTCTTCATGGTATTGTTATTATCCGTTTGATTGCCGTTGTTTCTGTTGTGAAGTCACCCATGTGGTTTCTTCTGTGTTGTCTTCTCTCTTTTCTTTTGTTAGGTTTGACAATGGTTTGTCAATTTCATTAATCCTTTCCGAGAACCAGCTTCTTGTCTTGTTTATGCTTTCATTTTTCTGTTTTCTATTTCAGCTATTTCTGTTCTACTTTATTATTTCTTTTCTTCTGGTGACTACAGGTTTACTTTGCTGGTCTTTTTCTAATTGTTGGACATGTTGTGTTACTGTGCTGATTTTGATTGTTTCTTCTTTTTGAATATGTACAGTAATTAGGGCGTTATTCAGTTTCCATGTATTTGACTTTTTTTGATCTTGTTACTGTTGATTTCTAATTTTATAACACTGTGATTGAGAAAATGCTTTATAATGTTTTGATATTTTTGAATATATGGAAGCTTGTTTTGTGGGCTAACACATGGTCTATTCTGAAGAATGTTTCATGTGCACTCAAAAAGAATGTATATTGTGCTGTTGTTGGGTTGAATGCTTTGTACAAATTTGTGCGGTCAAATTGGTTGACTGTGTTAATTAGTTGCACTGTGTCTATGTCAAATTTCTTTCTTGTTGTTTTGTTATTTTTCCAAAGTGGTGTATTGAAATATCCCACTATTATTGTAGATTCGTCTATTTCTTTTTTTCAATTCTATTAGGTTTTGCTTTATATATTTTGGGGCTCTATCGTTGGGAGCACAGATATTATGGTTATGTCCTTTTGTTTAAATAACGTTTTTATCATGAGAAAATGTCCTGTATCTCTTAAGGTGATTTTGCCTTAAAGTTTATTTTATCAGAGATTAGTATTACCACTCCTGCTCGTTTTTTATTGCAATTTGCTTGGTATATTATTTTTTTCAGTCCTTTAATTTTTAAACTGTTTTTGTCTTTGTGTATAAGGTGTCTTTCTTGTATACTTGTATCTTGTATACAGGATATTGAAGGATACTGTCTTCTAATACATTCCGCCACTCTCTAAATCTTGGCTGGTGCATTTAATCCATTGACATTCAGTGTATTTATCAACAGCTATAAATTGATTGCTCTCATGATGTTTGTTTTTTTGTGTGTGGTGCTGCTGGTTTCTTTGTTCTGCATGCCTTCCTGAGCTGAGTTCATTTTTTTGGTTCTTTTTCTTGTTAATTTCTTCATAGTTTTAATGTTTTCATGTTCTTCTTGGATTTTCCTTTTCTTGATACATTGTGAAGTATTTTCTTAGAGGTTACCCTATATTGTATTAACTTTTTCCTCCTTTTAAACTAGTCTATTTTATCTTGCAATCTCCCTGATCTCTTCACCACCTGGATTTCTGTTCCTGTATTTTTTCCTTCTTTCACACTGTAGCTTTTTAAATCCTAGACTCACCTCCAAGATCCTCTGATTTCCTTCTTGTAGTTTTGTTCTGCTCTGGACTCTTCCATCTCTCAACTGAGTTCTGGGTGGTGTTGTGACGTACATCAATCTCCAGTTGTTGTCTGTTCTTGTTAGTTCTCATGCCAAAGAATTCCCTTTAGGTTGTTTTAAAGCACTGGATTGGCATTTACAAAGTCCCTTAACTTCTGTTGTTATGAGTGTACCAATTAATGACATGTAATTATTAATCACTTGGACCTCTTTTTGCAGGTTTTGAATTGTTTTCAATGATATTTCTATCTTACTTGATTGTTCCTGTAGCATTTTTCTGAATTCTACCTCATTTTCTTCAACCTTTTTGTGGAACGTTTAGATGCATACCTGCATATCATTCTCCTGAATTCCTTGTTGGACCATTCCAAAGCCAGCATTTCTTCCAATGGAAATTCTAGGTCTACCTCTAGCTCATTTATTTGAGCTACTCTGTCTTGTTTCTTCACACGAGCAGAAATATTCTGCTGATTTTTAGGCATTGTTGTTCTGTTAATTTTTCAAAATTAGATGAATATACATGTA